TTGTAACTTTAAGTCTCAATAACATTTGACTCTTTGGTTTCCTCAAAATAAATTTTATATATTTTGACTCCCTATTACCTCCCCTATCCAAAAATACAACCCTCAGAGACCGCGTCTCATATACTAAGCTGCGGCCTAACGAAGTATCGTCCCGTCCTTAAAAAAAGAGAGAGTTCACTTGTGTTTACGTACACACTTATGCACTATATATCCAGCGTAGAAGCTTAGTTTCAGTGAGCTTGGCCTTCATGATCTAATTCGATCAGGAAGTCATTATTATTAATAGGTATAAATATTACTAAGTAATGACTATGCCATTACTATATCCTATTAGTATAAGTATAAAACGCTATTTCATTCACTTAGACCACTCAATAGCTGTAGTGGTTCCACTGATTCGTGTCAAGTACCCATTTGTCCGTCACACTGGCCGTTTCGAGTACTTCAAGCGTGACTATTGTTTATATTTGCGTTCTGATCTCTTAACATGTGTACAATATCCTGAATTGTATTGATATATCTTTTATTATAATCTAACGATTTTAAATAAAATTTGAAACGTCCAAAAATTGGCAGTGGTAGCCCAGTGGTAACGCGCTCGCTTGGGAAACCGAGTGAAGCGAGTTCAAATCCCTTGTCTCGCACCTCTTATATTTTTATGTGCGAATCATTTCCAACATGATTACCACTTGTCTTACGGTGAAGGAAAACATCGTGAGGAAACCTGCATGTCTGAGAGAACCTAGCAAGTTTTCAAAGACATGTGAAGTCCGCCAATCCGCACTTGGCCAGCGTGGTAGACTATGGCCTGATTCCCCTCGTACTGAAGGGAGGCCCTTGCCCAGCAGTGGGATGTTAAAATGGCTGAATACAAAAAAAAATTGAGTCTCCCATCAGAATGATTGCTGTACAGCATTCGAAATATCGGAAATCTAAAATCTACATATAAATAGGCAAAGACAAAATACTTCAGTACCTTTTTCTCTTCTGTCACTTCATTTTCTTGTTTTTTGTTCAGTAGCTGTTGACGAACTTTAGTTTTATCAATAAAAAACAATTTCAAAACCAGTAAGTTTTTTTACATAATTATGTTCATAAATAATATTCATATATGATTTAACTCAATGATATGATTGCTTGAATTTCAATCAATAGTCAAAATAAATTCGCTAAAAAATCCGTAACTATGGTTTTTCTCACAAATATCAAATACTAGCGGCTCAACCTTGCTTTACTCGGGTTAGTCCCTAGCTTGATTCCCTATAAAGATTTCCGGAATAAAAGTCCTATTTAGGTATTCTATGCCCTTCCCAGGGTTTCAACTATCATCTTACCAAATTTCATCTAAATCGATTCAGTAGATCCAGATCACCCCATACAACGTCACAAACTCACAATATCACAAACTCACAAACGTTACCTCTTTATAATATTAATATATTACTAGAATTATAAAATTTTTAGAGGTTTTGTATTAATTCTTAATTAAAATATATGAAAACTTTTTTCTAATACAATGTTATGTAAAAAAATATAAAATATTGAGTTTTTTCTTAGTTATCATTTATATAAAGATATTTCAAAGACTATTATAAATAAAATTATATAAAAAGTGATACTTGTCAAGAACATGCTGAAATGAAAAACGTACAAAGCTAAGATTAGTAAATAGTACTTCATAAAATAAAGCTAATTCAAAATTATAAATTTTAATTTCATTTATGTGTAGGCTTGGCACCAAATTGCAACTAAGTGCTAGCTTCCTTTGTTACAAACTATCGCGTGCCAAATTTCGCATTGAGGCGTAAATTGTTCAGAAAGATAGATATTTTTAAACTACATATATAAATCAGTAATTTATTGACTTATTTGTTTGTTCGATTAAATTGATTAAATGAAGTAATTTGAATTGTACTTATATTGACGACACGTCTGGCTCAGCTTGTAGTGGCCCTACTTGTTGTGCCAGTGGTTCGCGGGTTCGAGTCCCGTTGGGGGCATTCATTTGTGTGATGAGCATGAATGTTTGTTCCCCAGTCATGGGTGTTCATATTTATTTATAATATGTATTTAAAGTTATATATGTGTAGTGTATCAACTGTCTGGTATCCATAACACAAGCCTCGTAGCTTACCATGGAACTAGATGGTGATGTGTGTTAGTGGCCCAACATATTTATTTATATTTAGTACCGGCCTTAGCAACTCATTATATAAATTAATACTGCATATATATATATATCATAATTTTTTACTACCAATTTTTCCCATGACTTCACTTACATGGTAGATGTAGTCTAGTAGTAAGAAAATTACAAAAATATAAAACCTGACTGCATAAAGCGAACTAAAAAGATGGTTAGCTTATCTATTCGTTCACTTTCTACTAGTTTTTTGTCTTATTGTGTTGCTTTTAACGCTATGGGGATTACACTAAATAAATAAATATGTTGGGATATTAACACAGCACCATCTAGTTATGGATACCAGATAGTTGATAAACTACACATATATAATTTTAAATACATACATATTATAAATATAATTACCCATGATTCTGCTAGGATTTTAACCCAAAAGGTATAATTGATATACTAAATCTATATTGGTTGTTTAATTCCTTTATTGATGCAATAGCTTTAGCGGCGTAAACAATTGGAAATCTGGAGGTTCTGAGTTTGAATCCCGGGTCGGATTAAGTACAGCTATTGAATTTTCTGTCTCTTATCTGTTGAATGTTCTGTATTCTGCAATAATTAAACTTCTCTTTTTTCTCTTTCGTTTTCTTCTAAAAACCACGCGAGCGGAATCATGAGAAAACACTAGTATAGACATAACCTCAAAACTTACTTACCTTTTCCTACATATTATATATATATATATATATATATATATATATATATATATATATATATATATATATATATATATATATATATATATGTGTATATATAGAATAAAATTATAATAGCCAGCCCCTAACGCGAGCTAGTTAACAATTTGCTATATTTTTATTTAAGTTATTTATGAAAAATAATAACCGCTTCATAATATATTTATTACATTATTTACGTCACTTCACAATAACAAGGAACAATAAAGAAAGTAAATAATAACTTATTAACTTTGTATTGGGCTTTACTCAACAAAGCACCTTTACAAGTTAATTGAAAATCTGTTTCTAATAGTTTATTTTGTTCAAAAGGTTATAAGTTTTATTTGCCTTGAAGTTTATTAAATTCATAACTAATTTTAATTAAAAATGAAATAGGCATTTTGAAACTTAATTAATTTTATAATCTTACTAGCGATTCACCCTCGCTCCGCTCGGGTTCGTCCCTACTTACGTTTTACCCTTTAGCATGGATTTCTCAGAAATGAGATATTTTCCCGCAATAAAAAGTATTCTATATGTTGATCAGGATAACCAGCTATCATCATACCAAATTTCATCAAAATCCAGTGGTTTTTCCGTGATGCGGTAACAGACAGACAGACAGACGGACAGACAAAAATTCTAAAAACTATAGATTTCTAAGAACTATAGTCTTCTGTATCGAAAATAATGTTTGTTTCAATAAGTTTTTCCAAAAAAATATTGAATGTGCAGATTCGGCTTAGTTAGAATTTTATTATATGTATAGATAATCAATGTTCATAATAAAAAAACCTTAAATAACCCTTAATCAGACAGAAGAAAGAGAGTAAAATTGGATAGCTAATTTAAAAACGAACAACGATTTTAAACCATAAACTAAGTATATTTTTCTACAAGCTCTAACGTTAAAATCTAAAGCATATCGAAATAAAAGATAATTTAAGAAACTCGATACATTAAATAACGACGTGACGAACAAAGGTTGTGAATGTAAATTACAAAATTTTACAAGAGATGAGAAAAACTAAAATAAGCTTTTGACAGTTTATAATTCGGTAATTCTTTCTCAAAAAATTACCGGATTATAAACTGTCAAAAGCTATCTCTAACGTAATATCGCTATATATGATAGCATTATATATGTATATATAATAGCTAGTTATCTCTAACGTATCTTACATCTAACAACTCTATTAGAATGTGAAATTGACCTACTTAGATAACTGTTTGATAAAAGATACCTAGAAGAAATATTTTTTATTAATTTTGCTTAATATAATATTTAGTATTATCCGTTGTTTTTTTTTTATTATTCAGTAATAGCTAATACATATCGTATAAATACGTGCCTAGATTTGATTACTATTTTTTTTATTGTTTTTTATTTTCTCATTTTTTATACCTACAAGCTTTTCAATTTTAGGTAGATTTAACTCTTAAATTAATTTTACTTTTATCAATTTAAAATTGTATTATTTATTATTTTTTACTAAATATTATTTAACTTTAACTTGATGCTGTAAAAATCTATAATAATTAAAATAAAATTTCGACCCATCTAAAGCACAACATTTTTATATCAAATATAATATATTTTAACTAATAACTGCCTCGGTGGTGTGTGGTGGCTAGCATGTACGGCTGCACACCCGGAGGTCCTCGGTTCGAGTCCTGGGTCGGGCCAAGTTTAGTTATTGAGTCTTCCTGTATAGTAAGTCTCAGTAACAGCCCAGAGTTGGGAAGTTGGCGGTGTTTCACCCCCGTGCCTCGGAGAGCACGTAAAGCCGTCGGTCCTGCGCCTTAACTCTCACCGGTCGTGTCGAGTGGTCGTCCCACCGGAGTATGAGAGTGATAGGAATAGAGAGTGAACTTGTGTCTGCGCGTACACTTGAGCACTATAATATCTCCTGCGCAGTTGGCTAATCTCATTGAGATTGGCCGCCGTGGCCGGAATCGGCTAGGAGAACATCATAATATATTTTATAATATATACAAATAAATTAAAAAACCTCTGCCAAAAGTACTCAGAAAGCTGGCCTCGTTTTGTAACATAAAAATTTTTGTTCACAGACAATTTGAAGAGATGAAAGCTCTAGAGTGTGTTCACGATGTAACCTCGTAACATGAGTCCAAACAGCTTCGCAGTTTACATCACCTGCCTGCTTTGGCTTGACCTTACTCACGCTAAAATTGGTAAGTTACTATTACTTTCTTAGATTTACCCGGAATATTTGACATTTTAAATTAAACTATCTTTTCGGAGACGGGATCATATTTGCTGTAAAGCATTCGAAACGTCGGAAACCAAAAATCAAAGTAAATCCACGAAATAATCTGAAAAAATAGTTTTATTTAAAGTTACTATTATATATTAATTATTAATAATATTAAAATAAAATATGAATACGTACCTATATGCTAGTTCTTTTTAATTTTCACATAGAACAAAATTAAAAAAAAAAACCATAGATTCGGCCTCTGTATCGATAACTATTTCAATAAGATTTTCCAAAAAATATTTAATGACAGATTCGACTCAGAATTTTATTATATGTATAGAAATATGATGTTTTATATTTTAACAGGTAGATGTGCATAATAAATTTTATAATATTAAACAAGCGATTCTTGTACCTAATCGTATACAAATTTATTTAGTATATCTCGGTAACAGCTTAAACGATTTGTATCACATTTTATACTATATATATATATATATATATATATATATATAACAATGCCGAGAAAGCTGGGTCATCCAGGTACTCTATAATAGTATCACAATGTATGTAAAATGGAACACATATACATAATATTAGAAATACATATGCAATGAATGCAAAGGTTTCATTTGAAGACACTGTTATAAGATTTTACTTAGAATAAGAGAGAAGAAGTAGTGATATTATGGACTAAAAACTTTCAGAGTTTATTAAAGTTGGGTCTATATTACTTGTACTTATATAGGGTTGAAAATAAATCATGGCATTTGAAATCTCTTAAGATTTTTGTTTGATGAATATGGAAAGTTTGTTGAAGTGTGAATTTTTGCGCTACCATTTAAATTTATTTAAGAACTACTATAGTGAGGGACCTAGACTTTGCAGTTTTAATATATGGCATATTTCAAAATAATTTATTGTTGTCCTTAAAAACTAATTATATCTTCATATCTTAATCTTTTTCTTTAGATTTTCTTGTGGTATTTGTTACATATATAACAAAACACGTTCTAAGATTCTCAATATAATTATTTAAAATTGTTTCAGGCATCGAAATAAATATTTAATATATCAGATTTTCACTAGTATAATATTTTACATGTAAAACATAATTGCAGTTTGTAAATATACTCGTAAATCGTAATACTATATCAAATGGGACTTCTCATTACATTACATTGAAACGTATAATATTTATGAAAAAGAAACATGAGTACAACTCGGATATTCGCTGGAAATTTTCTCGTTGAAACGACTTTTGTTTGTTTATACTAATTTATAAAACAGGGCATCTGGTATTCTTGAGGCCTTAATAAATATATAGCTTTAACGACTGTCGCATCTGCCTAAAAACTTTTTCTGTAAAAGTATCGAACTTTTAAATATATATTGAGATATGCTGAAAAAAATCTAATTTATACGAGGTTTTTCTTTCAATCTTTTTATAGTATATTAATTAATATATTTGAAAATATTTTGGCTTTCATTAAAAGTTGATATTTTGTATAGGTGACGGTCGGACTTTTACCATATTATATTATATAATATGTTTGTTCAAACAAGCTGAATTAATAAAAAACGTGTGCGTGTGTGTACTTATGTACGCACGTAAGAAGTTATACTTCTTTGACGTAACAGAACAAAAATAGCTAAAGATTTCATTATCCGTATGTCACAACTCTCTGTTTGTAAAAAGAATGCAGCTAGCTTCATCATGTCGCTTTTTGGCTGTCGGTGTGCGCGCGCATCGTAAGAATTTTACTCTCATATTTTTTCCAAACGTGGTAAAAGAAGTATAATTTCAAGAAGCTAATGGCGACAACTTTTATCCCATACCTTGATGGGTGTCCTTTGTTTGAATGATACTACTCAGCATAAGTGTATTTCAAAGGACACATATCTTTAGTTATTTTAAGTCATGCGGAATAACCAGCTTATATACATTAAGACATAAAAATACTTCTCAATTTTCACAGGACTCAATTCAACTGTATGTTTTTTTTATGTGTACGTTACGTAATATGTTTAAAAATTATACACTGGTTTTTTTATGAACTAGGGATAGACCTAAGTGTGGGAATGGTTCTGTAGGAATCTTAATAATGGTCCCATATATGTATATTTCAAGAACAAAACATATTTAAATTAATTTTGAAGTCGGTGTATATTTTTATCAAAAAAAAGCAATGCTATTAATATATATGTATATTTTACTTCAAAAGATATACATAACCCCTTAAAATGTAAGACAGATAAGATAGAAACTATAAAAATGTGTAGTTTATAGAGTGGACAATATTACAAGCTATGTCCGTTCAGGTTAATAATTTTAAGTAAAACCTACAAAGTAAAATTTCAATAAAATAGCGAGTTAAGTTTATATTATTTAATAATAACAAAACTATACATATAATAAAATTCTAACTGAGTCGAATCTGTACATTAAATCTGTCCGTCTGGATCGCATCACGAGTAAACCACAGGACAGATTTTGATAAAATTTGGTATGATGATAGCTGGTTATTCGGGCCAACATATAGGATGCATTTTACTGTGGAAAAATATCTCATCTCTGAGAAATCCATACTAAACGTTAAACGTGACTAGCGACAAACCCGAGCGGAGTGAGGGTGGTCTTTTGTTAAGCATTTTTCATACTTTATTTAAATTTTCTTCTCAGGATACTTTTGGCACATCACAGATCTTCATTATGATCCATTTCACAACTCCCCAGAGCTACATAGAGGTGAGTTTGGTATCCAAAATTTTGTTTTAATTTTTAACTGGACTTTATTATGGCCCATAATCGTGTTTTTGTTTGTGGCAACTTTGTCACGGGGGGGAACTGTTATGCCAGTTTAATTATAACTAATACCGGTAACTGGGAAATATGCATGTTCATAGCATTATTTAAACCTAAGGTTTCATTATCCAGTTAAATTTGTTTACAACAACGAATTGTGGTCGTAAATAGAACTGTTTAGTTGTAAAATACTTATTCACCTATGTTTTTTTTAAATTAAATGCGTTTATTATTTATTTTTATTTATTTTAATTCCGTAAATAGTTTTTATACAAGTACCATATAATTATATTATTGAATATCTATATTTGTATGTTCTAATTAATTGTAAGTTATTAGGTCTATTCCTCTAAAGTTTTTAATATGTATTTTTTTGATTTTACTTGCCATAATATAATTTTTGGCTCTTTTATAATCTATCATTTAACCATTTTACAATTATAATTTTTCATTTATTAGATTAATAAATTATACATTTAATATAATCCTATTATTATATGTTAATTTTTTCAAATAATTAATGTTAGTATATAACTTAAACCAACCAAAACCCTCGATTAAAATATAGCTTTAATCTGTAAAATCTATAAGAATTGTAAAATTAAAAACCTATGAAAGAAACTCGTAGCAATCTCGTAACAAATCACGTAGCACGCTAGAATTTAAACGACGTAGCGCTTGTAGCTACGAGTTTAGCGGTCGATGCTACAGCACGCTATGGAATGAACATCTTTTTGTTCGACACATATAAATTATCTAATAAAAGTTTATAATTTCTTATATTCTCCACTATCGTATGGTGTAGTGGTCTGGATTCCATCTACGTAAAGCGCCATTTACATGGAGAGAGTATAAGTTCAATTATCGCTTGGGGCAAATATTTATATTTTTAGAATCTGTATTTATATTTGTTTACTTTTAACGAAACACGAAACAATGGAGTGTATAGCGATTTTATTATTTATAAATTTCATAATTTATGTATCTTATAGTGAAGGAAGCATAGTATAATTTATTACATATAATCATTCATATGTTTATGACATCTACAATTGAATTTATTCGGCTGCAATATTAAGTTTACTATGTAGAGTCAATTGGGTAAAACTGTTAACACCTAGTAAAATATTATTTTATTTCTTATCTACTGTTCATCGTTATATCTTCATTTGTTTTCATGAATAACACAAATTTTGATAACGTTATAATAACTGAATAATTTTCAACATAAGTAATTTTATGTAAATAGTTCGGAATAAAAAATAATCCTATAAGAAATAATTATGTTAGCATAATTCTTGTTTAAAATATATAATATACTTAATTGATTAAATCAATTTAATAATAATAAATATGTATATACCAAAACACTTATATGATAAAATTCATATTTACATCCGCCTCATTTCTTTTTCTTGTTTCTTCTTTAAAAAAAAGTGCATTTCAATAAAAAAAATCAGTAAATAGTACTAGTGAATAATTTTTATCTACAATAAATCTACAGTGTGAGCACACCCTAAGCAATAACATCACAAAACGGCACTTTCCATTCATTACACGTATTCGTTGTGGCGCAACTCGACTCGCAACATCGAGATTTGCTATAAGTTAAGACGCTACTAGCTATGTACTAATAATGCATGCTGATACACGAACTGAGGAATTATGGATTTTTCTATAATTTTTTTTTTATTTTCAAATAAAAAAAAAACTTTTGTGGTAGGGACTATTAATAAATAACCTTTCAGAATATACACAGTTTGAACTGATGTCCTTGGCTGTTGAATGTGACTGATGTATTATATAGCTTCTCTTTGTATTTCGCCATTTTGATACCGGATAGAGATATACTAACTTGAATTAGTTTTTTTATTTATCTATGTAAATAAAAATCTATTGAGGGTCGTTAGTCTCGCTAAAACTCAAAAACGGCTGGACCAATTTTAATAATTCTTTTTTTGTTTTGTGGGGGTAGTATAACTATAAAAAGGGGGAAAACCCAAAAAACCGCGGAAAATTGAAAAGTTTAAAGCTGTTTATTTTACCTATGTATATATAATATGTAATCTATCATTATATACTAACCGTTAAAACGTACCTAGAGACGAACTCGAGCGAAGCGTGTGTGAGTCGCTAGTTTATTATATAATAATATTAATTATTAAAAATTAAAACGCTCAAACAATTTAGTTTATATGAACATGAATATGATTAAACCTGCATTTGTGTTATATAGGTTGCAAACACAATCGTGGTACAAACGAGCATAGCCACCGCAATGGGCGGCATCGAGACCACACCTGTGACAGTTCCTGGCCGCTTATACAAAGCGCCGCCGCTTTCATGGCTGAGAGACACCCGGATACACTGGAATTTGTACTGTGGACTGGGTTAGTATGGTGTTATTATGATATTACAGTAAAAATTGTAATTATTGATGAATATTTTATTTAAAAAAATTAATTCTTATATAGATTTAATACCTTCGATTTATACAAAAATTGGACTTAGTTATGTAAAAATGGAACACGAAAATTATATTTTAATCTGTAGTATACTGTCGAATATTTTAACTGCCTCCGTGGTGTAGTGGCTAGCATGTACGGCTGCACACCCGGAGGTCCTGGGTTCGAGTCCCGGGTCGGGCTAAGTTTAGTTATTGAGTCTTTCTGTATAAGTAAGCCTCAGTAATTTTATTAATTAAATTGTAATTTCCAATCAGGGAAATTATAATTTCACTAGTGAAATTAACAATTTTTGCAATTTCCTTACGTACAGATATAAGACGTGGTATTATTATCCTTATTGTATATTGAGTAATATGTTACATAATAAAGGATAAACTTACACAACATACACACACAAGGTCTGTACATCACTCATTAAGTACAAACTATTAAGATGCCAAATTATATATTATTCATTACTAAAACATAGAGAATGTAGAGTATGCAAAGATTTATCGTAGCTTATAGGTTTTAAAAAGGATTATGGGATGCCATGAAGATGTATGTGTATTTTAATTATAAAAGCAATTTTCATCACGTATGATTACGAAATTTCATCTCATAGTATCAAAATTTGAATTTTCGTACTAAATGGTAAAATTAATTTGAGGAGCTTACACAAACACGTCATATATCAAACTGATCCCATTTGAAGATGTAAGACATTGCCTCTTTGATTAATAATTTAAAATATAAATTATAGTTCTATTATGATGCTGTAACAGTAAAAAAAATAAGACATAATATGGCGCTAAAAATCTGCCATTTTAATTTTTATAATTTTGATATACACAATGTCACTCTCACAATTAAGATAAATCTAACAACACTTCTGAAGCTAAAACTCATCAAGCCGTGTAGGCTTAGGCTAAGGCCGTTTAGGGTATAGGCTTGTGCGTGCCAAAGAAATATACATACATACGTACACTTGAAAAACATAACCCACCTTCTGGCGCAGTCGGGTAAAAATATAATTATTATACTTAATTCTTTAGATAGCAATTACAATGTGTTTTATGAGAATTCACCGACCTATATCTAAAAGAACAATGAGTATAAATCAGAATAAACCTATTATAATCCTTACTGCCTTAGTAAAAGGCGAAACAAGATTCATTGATTGGTCCTTATTTACACAGTAAAGACTCGATGCGACTTTTCACCGACTTTAAATATTTTGTAAATAATTTGCATTGATATTGCTAGTACCAGTATCTACGTACATATTACATAGTTTGTCTGAGCTATAATATGATACAAATACAAAATAAATTTTCTTATTTATTTATTAAAAAAATTTTTTACACCAGAGTAAATAGCATACAAAAAATAGCAGAACAGACGGCCTTATCGCTAAGTGAGCGATCGCTTCTAAGCAACCTTTGAGCAGAGCAAAAAAAAAAGATCGTGAAGGGGTGCATTAAAAAAAATACAAAACAATAGAAAAAAAATATAAATAATACAGTACATGAATACATACATACATACATACCCACAAAAATACCAATACGTATTATACACATAACATATACTTTAAAACATACTAAAATCGCACAATTAGTAAGGACTCGAGTGAAGCTAGAAAAATTCAACAGTCTTAAATGAACTCATTCTAAGATACTACGAGTATTACTTATCGAATACGTCCCTATTTGACACCCGGGCTGTACCAATATTGCATTTCTCATAGTAAATGGCTGCATTTCGGTCGATAATGTTTGGTAACACATATACGAACATTATTCTGAAATATAGCCGTTGCAACAGCTGGCATCGTGACCGCCATGCGATAGTTTGTGGTAGCTAATATACTGTTTACAAAAGAAAGATTTACAAGTTATGAATTACTAATGCAGTAAATTAAACTTATCATTATTTATATATTTAACTATTATAAATATGTATACATGTATGTATGAAACTCCACTTTTGAACAGCTTGGCAGATTTGGATTAGGTTTAGTTTATAAATAAGGCAGTGGTAGCCCAGTGGTAACGCGCTAACTTGGGAAACTGAGTGAAGTCGGTTCAAATCCCGGGTCCGGTAATTACCACTCGTCGTATGGTGAAGAAAGATTATGAGGAAGCCTTAATGTCTGAGAGAAACTAGCAGTTTTCGAAAAAAATGTGAAGTCCACCAGCCCGCACTTGGCCAGAGTGGTGGACTACGTCCTGATCCCTATCGCATTGAAGAAAGGCCCGTGCCCAGCAGTGGGACGTTAAAAAGGGATGAATATATATAGTTCACAAAATGGCTTGGAGTATCACTTACTAATGTTAGGAAACAAGAGGGCACACCCGAACAAAGAGAGGAATCATTAGTTTCACATACTAATATCTTTTATTAAGTAATAAAGTTTTGTAATTTTGTATTTTATGTATATGTGTATTTTTTGTATATATTATGTAAAGTTATATTTGTAAAGGTTTATATATGTAACAGTATTTTTTTTTCTCTTTGATGTATCTTCTGGCACATAATGGACCTGCTACTTAACACTATCTTTCACATCCATGGGTTGACTGGAAGAAATCTCTTTTAGGGATAAATCCACCTTTGTCTTTGTCCTTTAATTTGCAATTTCAATATATATATATATATATATATATATATATATATATATATATATATATATATATATATATATATATATATATAAATGTACTAAATAGATAAACATAAAAACAATTTACGAAAACAATTCTAAAGAGGAATTTGTAGACAGAAATCTTTGAACTAAAATTTCGGGCAGACTATGTAAATTAGAGTACGGCGGACTTTGTCAACATTTCGTAAGTTTGTGGGGAGTTGGAGTTTTTATAGTTAATCAACTTATTTGGGAAACATTTAAGGTAATTTTGGCTATAAGTATAACATTTCAACTAAGTATAGAGGCTGTAAAGTACGAAATTTATATTCGTGTAAGTAAGTGACAATTGTGAGCTTTCCCGAGTAAAACTTACGATCTGGAACTAATAAGCTTCACTTCCTTATCAGATCATCAGATATCACTGACCTGTTGCTTTCCTCGCGTTTCTACTTAGCGCTTTAAAACACATTGTTGGATGTAGTAAATAAAATTAAGCAAAATAAGACACAATATTTACATGTAATAAAAATAGGCTTTCTTACAAATAGTAATCTATAATATCTCTACATAAAAAATAATTTTTATTATTATTACGAACCCACTAAAAAAAATGGCAAAGTAACAAATCCGCTAACATATCCTCACCAATGAATATATAAATATCTTTATGAAAACTTAAAAAAAAACGAATTCCAGGTGCTAAAATGTAAAAAATAACTAAACGGGAGTTTTCATTTAAAATATATACCTAATCAGATATTTTCGAAATCAGTGCCAGCCGATGCAAAGCAAATCTAATATTTTTCGATAAATAGAATACATATTTACCTATTAAATATTCATATCTTAAAATATTGTCGGCTTGCACAGACCAGCAATAATTCAACCCTAAAATTTATTAAATGTATTGAAATATATGTAACAAAGCCAGTCAATATGTAAAATCTTAATTTTCAACCGACTTCAAAAAGGAGGAGGTTCTCAATTCGACTGTATTTTTTTTTTGTTTTTTTTTTTTTTATGTTTGTTACCTCAGAACTTCGTCATTTATTAACCGATTTGGACAATTTTTGTTTTGTTTGAAAGGGTATACTTCCAGATTGGTCCCATTTAAATTTCAAAAAAAATACCACCCCTAAGGGTGGAAAAATAGCTAATAATGAATTTAACCTACTTCTAATTGTCATATTGACTTGAAACTTTGCAAGTGTTTCTATTTCCGTTGATAGTACAGTAGTTCGGTATTGTTGACCTGATCTGATGGTAAGGCCAGAAGGTGGATAGGTGGAACTCTTCAACGACTAATAGTAGATACTTTGAGTTTGGGCTTATTTTGTTTGGTTTGACAAGCCTAACACTTTAGAATTCTTACTTTGCTACTACTGTCTACACTAAAAAGGGAAAAATAAAAACTTTTTAACAAAAAAATAAAAACCGACTTCAAACAAAAGCACTAAAAAGTAAAAAATAACTGATTGGTAGTTTTCATTTACTATACATACCTAATCAAATATTTTCGAAGTCGGTGTGCTTTGACTAAGTAATTAAAGTCTACCTATTAAATACCTACATACCTAATCAAATATTTTCGAAATCGGTGCAGCCCATACAAAGCAAAGCACACCGACTTCGAAAATATTTCATTAGGTATGTATAGTAAATGAAAACTACCAATCAGTTATTTTTTACTTTTTAGTGCTTTTGTTTTATGATATAAAATACCATTGAAAGCTCAAATAATAAACAATTGAATATTTCGCATGCAAATATTTTAGCTTAAAGCTTAACGCCTGTGGGCTTTACTTTCCTTTGTTTACATATTGACGATAAAAGGTCTCATAGAAATTTGAAATTACGACGTTCTAATACATCTTTTATCTCAAGAGAACCCTTTTTCTATGATAAAATGTCATATGTTTTGACATTTAATCATATTTTATTACATATATAAATTCAAATCTTATAAACAAAAAATCCATTAGAACATTTTTCTGGCGGCCTCTTAATTTAGCTAAAGTTTTGAAATAATCTAACTATATAGTTTTTGCATTATGATTTAAACTAGTGTCCGACCGAAACAAGATTTGCAGCCGAAACCGAAACCGAACCTTCGGCTTTGGTCTCAGTTTCGATTTTCGTCTGAAACCGAGACTTATTTAGTTCTGTTAAAAAAATATTTATTCTGATAGTATCATTATGTAGTTCATGTTTTATATTTTAAGTAGTTAATTACCGACTACACCTTACACGCTCGAGTGCGTATAGTATAATATACTCTCCCTAACGAAGCGAGACAATTCATGAACATGAACACTAAAGTTTCGGCGCGGCTTAAGATTCGGCTTGTTTTTGGCTGAAACCGAAACTATGGCCGAAACTAAATTTTTGGCTGAAACTGGCCGAAACCGAATCTTCGGTCGGTTACTAATTTAAACTTAAAATTATGAAAATTTTTACAATAACCCATGAACCTCATTAAATTCTAACGACGATAAAATGTTCCATTTGTTTGTAATTCCTGATTTTCCATGTACAGGCATTCGACCTCTACAGTTTTATTATACGTATAGATACTTTTCATAAAAAAGTTACATACATATATTATCTTAACTCGTTTTACAGATAAAAACCGTAAACAGATAATATAATATAAAATATAAATAGCCCCAGAATATTAGATCTATTACTGCAAATTTTATAAAAAAAATTTTTTTACAGGGACATATTATCCTCGTCAATGGAACACTTAAGTGAAGATATCAAATTAGAGGCAGTAAGAAATGTGACTGATATTCTTAGCAGGACGTTTAGCAGTCAGTTTGTATTCCCAGCGCTGGGACACAATGACCCGCCACCTTCTAGAAGATTGGTTGATATGTGGATGCAGTGGCTACCTACTGAGGCGTTACAGACTTTTGTTACTGGTAAATTCCAATACAAAATACATTATTCATACAAATATATAATATTTTCTTATGATATAATATTTCATGAGGGAAAATTCAGTGACAATTTTGGTTTGGAATCTGAACCCAGAACCACGATTTGTAGCTATGTAAATATGTATGTATGCAGCCACCAGACCAACAAAGTAGTATATAGATATAGAAAACCAATGTATAAGATCGTTTAACATAAAAGGTAAAAGTGTGAAACACCACCAAATCTACCACAGGACAATTTTAATAGATACCTACATACATACATAGATTTTAGTAAATAGGAAAAAGTTATTATGTTAATCACGCTTTCAATTTCAATTTTGTTTGTAAATTATCTTGTTCCAACTGACCTCTGTCTGTAAATTATAATTAATCCACTAGCATTTCCCGCGTTCAGATGACCAAAAACCAAATTCTCAAGTTTTACAGATCAGTATACTCTTACATTGTGGTTTTTGTATTATTTCTCAGAAATGAGATATTTTCCCACGATAAAAATTCCTCCATTTCATTCCAAATCCTATATTTTGACCCGGATAACCAGCTACCTTCATACCGAATTTCATCAATATCCCTCCAGTAGTTTTTCCATAATGCGGTAACAAACAGACAGACAGGCAGACAGACAGACAAAAATTCTCAAAACTATAGATTCGGCCTCTGTATCGATAATAATGTCTATTGCAATAAGATTTTCCAAAAAATATTTAATGTACAGATTCGGCTTATTTAGAACTTTTTTAATTTATATGTATAGATTACATGATTTTTTCCAATATTTTAGGTGGATATTACACAATCGAGCAGTCTCACAGCAGGTTGCGGATAGTAGTTTTAAATAGTGTGCTATGGGCCGGCGGTGCGGCGAAAACAGATGGCCCCCACAGAGGCAGAGCCCAGTGGGAGTGGTTAGAACACGTACTTAGCAAAGCTAGGAGGAAAAACGAGATGGTAATTTAGAAAATTTCGCATTATTGAAGACGTTAACTTTTTTTACTATTACTTGGATTTATTTTAATTTATTTTATTACGAGACTAACAATAAGAGATTAATTGGATAAATGTAAAAAAAATAATATACATTGTGCATGTGTTATATGATATTAGTTTTACAGTTTATTCATTATAAAAAAAAACATTATTATAGAATACCAGTAAATTTACTTCATAAAATATTAAAAATAATAAAATTTTGAACATTTTTATTTATTTATTTATTTTAGGGAAACAAACAGCACACAATATTAGATAAATTATAAATAATAATAGTTAACACGTAAACCAATGAACTTTCCATATATTAAAAAATACAAATAAGAAGCAGCCCACAATGAAAATAAGAAAAACAAAAAGCTAAACACTAAACTATACTAAAAAAATTTTTACAAACACTGATTAACATAGATTTGGGATATATTATCTTATATTCATACATAGCATGTTTACAGCATACTTATCGAGGTATATTTAAGAGAAAAATGGTTGTTTTTTTCTTAAGCCCAGCTCAATTAAATTAATCTTCAATTACTGGGGTTTAAATAATAGAACCTAATAAATCCAGGTGCTTACGTTATATACATATTATACGTGACGTTATTGGTGTATTTAATTAATTATTTATTAAGTTTGTTTAAGTACAATAGTATATACAAATATTAATATATAGCGGAATGAAGAAATAAACACTTTAGTCTGGCCCATTTCTGTATCTTTTCATGGGAATGACACATTTTCTCGTAGTAAAATCGTCTGTAATCTATATGTTGATTCAGATAATTAGATATCAGTTTTCATTAAATCCGTTCAATGTTTTCCCGTGAATCGGTGACAGATAGACAGATAATAATGTTCAAATGTGTGGGCTTTTGTCTATAAAAATGATCATAATATTTTTCAAAACATATTCAATGTACAGACGCGGCCCAGTTACACTTTTATTAGTGTAGGTCACACGAAATATATTATAGAAGTTTAACAATAAAGTATTAAATTAGTTACTTATTAACTGCCTCGGTGGTGTAGTGGCTAGCATGTACGGCTACACACCCGGAGGTCCTGGGTTCGAGTCCCGGGTCGGGCCAAGTTTAGTTATTGAGTCTTCCTTTATAGTAAGTCTCAGTAACAGCCCGGAGTTGGGAAGTTGGCGGTGTTTCACCCCCGTGCCTCGGAGAGCACGTAAAGCCGTCGGTCCTGCGAATTAACTCTCACCGGTTGTGTCGAGTGGTCGTCCCACCGGAGTATGAGAGTGATAGGAATAGAGAGTGCACTTGTGTCTGCGCGTACACTTGAGCACTATAATATCTCCTGCGCAGTTGGCTAATCTCATTGAGATTGGCCGCCGTGGCCGGAATCGGCTAGGAGAACATCACATTAAATTAGTATAATATTTTTAGGTATACCTCGTAGCTCATGCGGGTCCAGGAGTGGAAGAACGGCATAATGCTGGAAGCTCTTCAGCATCAGGAGGAGGCGAGCTCACGCCCAATGCAAATGGAAGGCTACTACATGTGATCAGAGCCTTTAGTGACGTCATAGCTGGTCAATTTTATGGACACCGGCATGCAGACACCTTTAGACTTATTTATAGTGAAGGTACTTATATTTTTAATCTGTACTTACATAATACATTAAATTAAATTTGATTATTTTCATGTGTACCAGCTCTTATTTCACGTCCCATTGCTGGGCACGGGCCTCCTTTTAATGCGAGAGGGATCAGACTATAGTCCACCACGCTGATAAAGTACCGATTGGCGGACTTCACATGTCTTTCGAAAACTTGCTAGGTTCTGTCAGACATGTAAGTTTCCTCACGATGTTTTCCTTCATCGTAAGGCACGTGGTAATCGTGTTGAAAATAATTCGCATATGAAAATATCAAAGATGCAAGGCCTGCTTGGTATATTTGAAGCCGTTTAACTTGGTTTAACAAGCGAGCGCGTAACCACTGGGCTACTACTGCTATATTATTTTTATGATTGTTTTCCGTATTTATAATTTTATATTTGAATGAATTTAGTGTAATCACTAATTAAATATTATGCTTAACACATTCTTTATCATAATATTATGTCAAAATACACTCAATTATTAAATCAGGGAAGCCATTTTAAAATTCTTTAATTTAAATTCAATTAGTACAATAATTAATTAAGACTAAAATCTATGTTTTTGTTCATTAAATATATGTATTTAGCATTTAAACTAGAAAAGGCTTTGTAGTTCAAAATCATTTTACAATTTCAACTATTTATCATACTCTGTGTAAACAAACAAACAATACATTTATCTACAGAAACAAATATACTAGATTTATTTATAATAATATTATATTTGCCATTGTTGAATCTAAATCTATGAAATATAAATATAAATACACAATATGTACGTGTAATAATTAAATAATTTTTAGTCGTTTCGTCTGTTTGTTAAATTAAATTATTTATATCCAATTGAACTAACATTAATACTCGTATGCGTTATCATGCGACTAAGAAACATTAAGATTTGACACGTTTTCATAGAACTGATATTAATTAAACGTCTGTAATACTTTAGTATGTCCCATGTAAATTACACTGGCTTCTCAGGCTCTATTTGTATGGGAAAATAATTGGTATCTTACACTAGTTTTTGCTCCTGGCTCTGTTCGCATAGCCTATATTGGAGGGAGGTTCTTTCTGTAAAGGCTGCAACGTGGTGTTGTATAATGGCCTATAACGTGTATTAATTAAAAACCTTTAATAAAATACAAAAAGTCGGACTGGAGTTGTAGAGTTTAGCGCATCCAAAAATTTTTTTTAAGTGTTTTTATATAAATATTGTTACTCTAGATCAAAATAAGGCTATATATGTATAATTTGTTCTATTTTGCTTATGTGGGAGTAGATCTTTGAGAATTTTCCAAGAAATTTTATTAGAAAGCTACACCATCCCAGTCTAACATTGGCTTTTATTATAGACGCGGGCGGAACCATGGGAGGAAAGTAGGTGTTTACAATATCATTGCCTCAAGGTTATTCCAAATATTCCAAATTCCTAAGAAATTTTTCAAGTTTTATTCCTTCCTAAAAATCTTATCCATATTATGAACATGTAAATTCAATCCCCTTCATAACCTGCTGCAATCTCAACTGCTCAACTGGCACGCTTTGAAGCCATCAACAAGAAAATTGAATGAACACTTCAAATGGAAATCAAAAGAAAAATTGGCCAAATCAGTCTATCCGTTATCATGTACTGCGCTTACGAACAAAAAATATTTCAGTCTTAATTACATATATATTTGTAACTAATATAGTATATAAAATATTGTTCATAGGTCGACCAGTATCTTGGGCTCTTCTCGCACCGTCTTTGACTCCACGCGGTGCCGGAAGTATATCCAATCCAGGATTAAGGCTTTATAAATTTGAATCCCATACCGGAAAGGTAAGTTACGTAAATTAACAATTAACAAATACTTATTTATAAAGCTTATTTATTTACTATATCTATTTAGCACTTCATCACCAAGCATTATTATAATGGCTTGAACTTAACAATATCAAACAAAATTAACACAAATTCGATGAGTGATAGAAGGAATTATGGTTTATCAGTTTTTTTTTTATTAAAAAAAATTTTTTTTTTTATTATATATATATAATTAAATATTAAATGTTATTATTATAACAAAATTTAATTTTAAGAAAAGCACGCAATTTTTAAAGTTGCGTGTCGTCGAATGTAATATTTTTACAAAATATTTACTTCAGTACTTAATAAGTACTAAGGTAAATTTTTGGTTCGCGACGTTTCAAATGTTTTACAGAAATCTCGGATCTCAAAGCTATATACTATAGTTGTTACAGACAATGCCTACTCAAACATTACAAAATGAATTCCAAAAACTCGAAAATTGCACCGATTTACCTTATAATAACAAAGTATTTATTAAATAAATACAACAGTTAAAACTAAGTAAAATGAATGTTCTACTTGAATATTACATGTATTTGTATATATGTAGGAAGAGAGGTTTCTTGGTAGTTTCTACTTATAACGTATATCGATATCAAATCGATCCTCATTTGAAATTTTGTAGGTATATGCAATTCGGATGGCAATGCAATAAATACTTTGATACCACAGACTTGATATGATGCTGCCGATGCAGACAGGAGGTTGTACATAATGAAACTCTTGAGTGGTTACAAAACTTAGTCTTCCATTTTGGGCTAATTTCATAGGAATCATATCAGCTAAAAGATAGTTAGACATTTAAGCCGTAAAGGGGTGGAAAAAATCGGTCAAGTACGAATGGAATTCGCACTCGAAGGGTTCTATACCATCGTGCATGAACTTTTTATTAATATGACTTTTACTCCATGTGTGTTGTATATTAACTTCGATTATCGATTACGGACGTTACAAAATGTTTGTTGTTTTAAATTTTTATAATTTGTTGCTATAGCGACAATAAATATACGTACTTTGTCAAAATTTCAACTCTACATATACTCTGACAGACGGACGGACGAACGGACAGCGAAAACTTAGTAGTAGGGTTCCGTTTGCACCCTTCGGATAAGGAACCCTAAAAAGAGGTTAGGCGCTTGTATAAAAAATACGCTATTTTTAAAGATACAGTGACCAAAATTCAAAGTGAAATTTTTGATTAAAAATGACGACTACACTAAGTAATTCAAAGTTTAAGGCAGGACATAAGGTAAAAAATAAAAGATTGTTGTAAAATATAGGAGCGAAACAATTATATATATATATATATATATATATATATATATATATATATATAAAGTATACGAGTGGAGCTGCAAAAAAAAATTGTATTTTAATAAAAATGTAATAAATAATGTACAACGAGACCCCATTAGAATTACATTATATGTATAGATTGGTAGGATCGATAAAGAACATGACACTAACTAATTTGAGCCACAGCCGACCCCGCCTCATTCGTGTTTAAGATATTTGCTTCCTGAAAACGATAACAAAGCTCTAATGAATATATGTTTTTCTTGTAGTACAAAGAAATTAATTATTTATTAAAATATCAAATTTACACGGCGTGGGCGCGTTCTACGTACATATATTAAGTACTACCTAGTGCATACATATTGAAAATATTTCATTTATTAAATACTAGCAGAACCCGCTGCTTTCCTCGCGCTAAAACTACAAAAAAATGGTAGGTTTCATACAAACTTTCATCCGCTATTTTAACCCCTTATGGGATGAATTTCGAAAAATACTTAAACACGTATTTAATTAATTGTATTGAAGAGCATTAATACCAAGTTTCAAGTAATTCTGATCATAAATATATTTTTTATTGTATTATAACGTGTTTTCCCGTATGAAAGAGATAATCTCACGCGGCAAAAAGTTGCCTATGTCACTCTCTAGCCCTTCAAATATCTCCACACAAAAAATCTCGCGAATCCGCCAAGCTGTTTTGACGTGAAAGAAAGACAAACAAACAAACACACTTTCACATTTATAATATTAGTATGTTTATGGATTTCTATCGTCATGAGCATATACGCCTGTGATTTTGGGTCTGAAATCTGGTGTATATCAATTTACTTATTGAGTTTTTCTCACAGTGTATTCTCAGAGGCATTATGAAAGAAAACGTAATGGAGTGATATAATATCTCCGGTATAGACAGAAAGTTCGTAGAATTGAAAAAAAAATTGGAGGGTAAGAACATATTCTGTTTTTAATGCAAACGCTGTCGGTTATTGCAAAAGAGCTAACTTTTCCAAACAAGGTGTTCGATTTCGGGCTAGGTAAATAATTTTTTCCAAATTACAATATACCTAGCATGTTTTGCAATCTACGCACACTTCAAAAATTGGACTGTGTTAAACTATAACTAGCTTTGTGGTTCGGTTCAGTTCACATTGTTTATTTATAACTTATCCGCTTCTAAAGGTCTAACCGTGGTGTTAAATATGCAAAGAGTGTTTTCAAATTGTATTGCCATTTCAAGAAATTAGCGCGTTCCAAACAAAATTTGAGGAATTATAATATTCGTGTAGATAAAAATAAGCTTATGTAATATTTCATTAAATAATCAAAGATCATCTACTGATTTATTTTATAAGATTTTAAATGATTTTCAGTATGTAACTATAATAAACTAGCGGCTCACCCTCGCTTCGTTCTGGTTCACCTCTAGGAATACAAAAACTAAACTATCCCTCGGGAACTGTACCTACATTTTTCTGAAATAAAAGATAGCCTATGTATTATTGCAGACTATAATCTATCTCTGTGCCAAATTTCATCCAGATCCGTTCAGCAGTTCTGACGTGAAAGTGTAACAAACATCCATACATACGCACAAACTTTCACATTTTTAATATTAATATATAATATACTAATAAATTAATAATCATACGTATTAATAGATAAACGTTGTAAATAGATAAAATACTGAAAATATACTTCGGTATGCATGAGTCCAGGAAATTTTCCTGTTTTTATGGGATTTGTCGAATTGTAAAGGTATATTTCGAAAGACAAATCCTTTTATAGACGTTTTATTAGTTGAAAGTAATTATAAAGCTGCAAAATAGCTTTCATTAAATGCAAGCTCAATTCCAAATTTCATCAACATTGTAAAATATAACGCATTATAAAAATAAACATCCTTACATTAAAATAATATTATCTTCCATAGATTATAACATCACAAACTCGAAAGTCCCAAGGGACTTTGGTTTATTTAATTAAATAAGTAACTATTTGTTACGCGAAGTTGATTTTATTACCTTTCTACAATAATCTATACTAACATAATATTATAAAGAGGTAAAGTTTGTGAGGTTGTAGGGGGGTAATCTCTGGATCTACTGAATCGATTTAGATGAAATTTGTTAAGAAGATAGTTTGACACCCCGTAAACGGAACTTTTTATCTAGAAAGTCATCCCTGAAGGGGGTGAAAATGGGGATGAAAGTTTGTATGGAAAATCAACTTCATTTAATAAAATTAGAATGTTTTAATGAACAACCCACGTTTAATTTCATTCCATAAGATTATTTACACTTTATCTCGTTTACTAATTCGATTCCTCCATTGAATGGCAATGCCGATTCTTTTGGCGAAAACTGCACCAGCTCTCGTCATCAGTAGAGGCGATAAGACAAGGTGTTATGTCGTGAATATATTTTGAAATTTTATTTTTTATTAAATATAATATTATTTTATTATTTTTTTCGCGGGACATAAAATCACAATAAATTCGCGAAAAAAAAAACAGTTTTATTTAAAATGTCTTTTTACTATTTAAAATTTTATTTTTTTAGGTATTAGACTACACACAGTATTATTTAGATGTAACAAATACTAGAGGGGAGGCGCATTGGGCAGTGGAATACAACGTTACTCAGTACTACGGCCTTAGAGAAGTGAATGCGGCCTCGCTGGATAACCTTGCCGAGAAGATAAGGAATTATCATGATCGAGGTTTACTTACAAAGTGAGTATTTGTTGTGTAAATGTTATACCAAGATAATACTTGAACATGTAAAAATCTATGATTATATATCGATATAAAGTATTTTTTTGCAAAACTGTATGAATAAAATGTTAAATAAATACTTTTTAATACAGTATTAGTTTTCTAAATAATATTATTATATGATCTAATAGTGATGGATGATCTTATAGAGACATTGAATTGGTTTCACAATTTTACACAAAAATAGTTTGTGTTCTTGAGAATAAGCTTAGCGAAGAATTTTCATAAAGAAAAGAGAAAATGTTCTATAAGTTCTAGGAGCTTTGCTAAAAGCGAGCTTTACAAAGGGTTTACAAAATAGTAAACAGTATTATATATGTATGTATGATTGAATATTAAGTTTTATCAGCTATGGGGACTACAGGAATGCATCTAAAGGATGTGGAAGGAGAAGGAGCTTTCTTCATCCACTACTTTCCCTCACCTCTATCCCTCACCTCTATCCCTCACCTCTATCCCTCTCCATCTCTCATCTCTAAGGGACATTCTATGCAAGAATAGTAATTTTCCTGCAAAACCTTATACATTAAGCAACCTATTTAATTACATAATGGTAAATAAAATAGATTTTGCAGAAAATTTTGGTAATTTTCGTATTATAATAATACAAAAACTTATATCAACGTAAATAGCAAAAAAAAAATTTTTTTAAAAAAACCATAATCTTTAACTATAATTTTTTTATTAGGTATCTCACAGCACTCCGAGTTCGTCACACACAAGACGTTTCAGACTGCGATGCAGCGTGCGTCCATGTTCATTTCTGCGCAATCACTCGCGCGGATTTCCATGAGTTTAGGTCTTGTGTTAGTAACCCAGCATCAGCCCTCGCATCTCGCGCACCGCACAACTCTGCGGCCATTTTATTATATGCTATTTTAATTTTGATCTCGTCATAAATTATATAAATACTTAACACCGTTAGCCTCAGTCGAATACTTACATCGATATATGTAAATATTATTTTTACAAGTGGAATTCAATCTAAGATAGATTTTTAACTTAAAAGTTCGTACGATGAATTATATTAAAAGGAAAAATTAAAGTTGTTTTTTCATCACGGTTTTCATAACAAAATTAATGGACGCTACAACTTAAGCTTACCAATTTCGTTGTTGTCAATATTTGCAATATAACTTTCTAACAGGCTATTGTTTTGAGCAACTAAAATATTTTTTTAAAAGAAATACCTTTCTTGATTAAAACGCAACATTTATAAAACGGTTAGATAAGAAAAATATGAATGTATAATATATAAAACTAATAAAAAAGTTTCATGAATTTTCGTTTAATTCACTAAAGGTGATCAATATATGACTTTAATTTAATCTTGTAGAATATCATACTTCTACTAAAAAAATTAGTTTTACTTAATCCACATATAATATTGATATTACTGTACGTGTACACATAGCATTGCATTACAAGTTGAAAAACATAGCAATAATTCGTGTATACTGCGAATTCCACTGTTATTTAAGTTTTATTTTTATTTTCATAGAGATTTTTTTCAGTATGTTCAAAACGTAGACAACCTTCAACGCTTTTTATATATGAGGGTCTATCATCAACTTTTCCTTAGCGATTTTTCTCATTCTTGGTAAGTATTTAAATTAAATCACTAAATTTCGTACCATCAACAGTAAGTTGAGAGTTTGAGAGAGTGAGCTGTGAGTTGGATCGTAACTGATTCGAATTATGTGAATGGAATTAATGACAATAATTTGAAATAAAACTATCTTTTCGGATTATTTTACGTATTTATTTTAATTTTTGATTTCCGACGTTTCGAATGCTTTACAGCGATCATGATCACGGGAGTAACTTCTTTTCGCGATCTACGAAATAATCCGAAGAGATACTTCTTTTGAAATGTCAAATTTTAGATTTTATTTAGACTTCGATATAAACTGAGCGTCTTATAAAGCTCGTGGTACGAAATTCTGAAACGATTTGTTTTACGTCGAAAATTGAGTCGCAATAAGGGTTGATGGTGGGTCCTCTACACTATAAAAGTTTTTATTATAAAGTAATAATATTTTATTTTAGCACGTACTCATTTAACATTGCAACGTAAGATATTTAATAATTTGATTTAATCTGCGGAACTGAACTCATAATACTAGCTATAAAATGTAAATAAGCTTTAATATGTATCACGTATCCACAAAAATTAAACCTAAACTTGTTTTTGATTATAGATTTCTTCTATTTCTAACCAATAACTTTTAAAATATTTTATTACATACCCTAAATTTCATTGCCAATATTGTATATAGCATTCATTAATGTTTGACACGTATTGAAAATTTAAATTTTGTGTGCAATAAATAAATGTTTAGATATGACAGATTTTTCTAATAACATACGTAGGTATGGATGTACAGATCGACATGTAACCTGAAGGATATTCTTACAACTTGTACAATATAATTCATAGAAAACGCTTAATACTCTTGTAGGGATTGTTTGGTAAAATAACTCAGCTTAAACTAATATTATGAAGAAGAAAAATTTGTTTGTATCCAAAAAATAAAGGTTTTATTTTGTTTTAATAATAATGTCTTCAGCCTTAAATATCTATTAGGCCTTTGAGTCACAAGTACCTTAAAGTTAAAAAGAATTAAAAAAATTATAATATCATCGCGTAGCACTCACAAAAGAAAAATAAAATTAATTTTATCGTGTTATGGAAAAGGTCGTGCCCTGATTCCTTAGGGCTAGCCGTTACGATTCGTCACTGTCACTAGTCTTGTTAGACAGAAATCTACATAAGAAAATGTACTTTTGCTTCCGTAAATATTTTTATTAAGTATAAAATATTTTTTTGTATATTTTATTATATAATATATTTTCTTTGTTTGTTTTAATTCATTATGAATATGTATTTGCTTTAAAACAGAAAAAGATCCTCAGTTTCAGTGTCTATTAAGTGCTAGATTTTTGCCTATTGATGATTTCTTTAAATATTTACCCAACTGCGGCGAAGTCCAAAGGAGTGTTATGTGTTTGATTAATCAATAAGCTATTTACTTTTATAGTGATTTAGAAGTCAGCGTAAGTTAATTATTATAATATCTTAAATTATTGGTAACATATTGACATATGGCAGCTTATATATTGAATATCTGGCTAAAATAAATCGAAAAATATCTTGGCTATTTTTATGAAGAGAGTCAATCATTTTCTTTGAGTTCAGATAAAGTATTAAGTTATAAAAGGCACCCGTAGTCCAGTGGTAGCGCTCTCGCTTGGGAAACCGAGTGAAGCGGGTTCAAATCTCGAGTCTCGCACGTCTGATATTTTAAGAGAACCTAGCAAGTTTTCAAAAGACATGTGAAGTCCGCCAACCCGCACTTGGCCATCGTGGGCGACTGTAGCCTGATACCCCTCATACTGAAGGGAGGGAGGCTGGTGCCCAGCAGTGGGACGTTAAAAAGGGGCTGAATACATTAAGTTATTAAAAATAGGAGTTTTATTTTTATTGATTTATTGAACTACCAAAAAAAATTATTATACCTTTTAGAGTGCTTAAAGCTAGATAACATTTTCTGATCTATATCCTCAAAACAAATAAATTTTTATCTAAATACGAGAAAAAAAATATATGAATAAATTAGAATTTCCAAACAGAATTCTAACGTGAAGTTTGATCGCTAAAATTTGTACACCCCTCGTTACGATAAAGGTTAATCTCATTACTGGGACAGCGAAAAAAGCCAACATTTTCCCCGTGAACATAAAAAAGATAGATAGTAAAAAACGAAATTCGAAATAGTACCAAAGTAGATGTCAGCTCCATGAAAAGATTATTCATTAGCCATACTTTCGCTTTTTGTATCGTAATAAGCGTAGTCGATTTTTATTTCGTTATAATGAAACGGATCCTAATATAATATACTAAAGTATTATATAATGTATATACGATTTTTGAAGTTATACTTCTTTGGCACGTTTGGAAAAAATTATAAGAGTAAATTTTTTATGCGCGCACACCGACAGCCAAAAAGCGACATGATGAAGTTAGCTGCATTCCTTTTACAAACAGAGAAAGTTGTGGCATACACGATGAAATCTTTAGCTATTTTTGTTCTGTTACGCCAAAGAAGTATAATTTCTTACATGCGTATACAAGTACACACACACGTTTTTTTTACATACAAATCATATTTCAGTATCTAAGGATTTTAAAATTAAGAATCATTTTTAGGATATAGACACATTTTTTCGATTTTTTGTGGAATGGACTGAAAGAAAGCACCAAACAATCTCAACAAGTATTAGAATATTTAACTATGATTAGACTTCGTTATGCTGATTTAATTGTGATATTTGAGGTTTTGTATATATTTATCAATAAAAACTAAAAGTGTAATGAAGAAAATAAATATGCATATTTAAGAACTTTTGTTCGTTATTTCTCGACCTTTTTCCTATATTTTTTTTTGTTTAGAATTATTTAAGACTTTAGCTTATGTGGGAATTGAACTTGTGACTAATAATAAATAGCGCTAAAAAGTAACATTACACACTCTTGCTTCTCCGAAGCCTTGTGTTAGAAGTCCAACACGTAAAATATAGATAAAATGGTCGGACACACATACAGACAAAGACAAAACTAACCCAAGCAGCGTTCTCATTATAGACAGACATCTACTTTTACCATATTATGTTTTTACCTTTACGAACATTTTGGCCACAAAATAATTGAGTACTCATACTAAATTACAATCAATACTTTAGGTATAATAATTAATTTTAGCGAATAGTCGATACATTTATAAGAATTGCTAAAGAACAACCTTATCCAAGAATTTTAAAATTATGTTATATAAGCAAATCTTATATCTAGCATATTTTTATCCATTTGAATTTTTATGACAATATGCTCTTTAAAAACGCGTTCATTGCTAATCTTTCGGGTTCCCCTAAAACGCTTAGAGGAAGAGGGTCGTCCCAACCTTTTTCCTGCTAAAATGTTATCCACCTTACGAAGATCTCTAATAATTTAACTTGCACAAATAAACCCAATAGAAACACAACCGAACACAGCTCTCAGTTATTTGGTCAGCAAACACATACTTTATGCCATATGAATACGTTTCAGTATGGAAAGGTAAGGTTAGAAAAAAAAACGATAAAAAGCTAGTAAGCATTTATGAGTTGAGAAAGGCATAAAATGCGACCAAGCACCCTTTTGTCGCTTTGTTAGTTCAAATGAGAATAAAAAACATTCTTCATAAATATTATATCATGAGAACAAATGGTTACTTGTGTTTTATTTCTTACTCAAACTCAAGATGTACTTTATTGTATTAGACTTTTATAAACACTTTTGACTTTTTTCGCTTTTAAAGTAAATCAGTATTGTAAGCCTTTAAGGAAGTTACTGCCGACTTAGTATATAGTTCTGTTGAGAGAAGTCAGAAAGTTAAAGGAAGAGACAGAAGAAACTCAAAAGCTCCGCTTTTTATGCTTAACATATTAGTATACAATTTTGGACTTCCTGCATAAGTATAATATTATGTAGTTCCTAAGGTCCTGGGTTCAAGCCCCAGGTCGGGCTATAAGGCAAGTATTTCCGGCAGATATGGTTATTTTCATTGCAATTAACCGCCATTGCTGAAATTGGTCATAAATATGTTAACAATTTTGAGGTATTTTTTTATGAAGCAATGGTAGCTAAGTAGTAGCAAGCCCGCTTGGGAAACCAAGTGAAGCAGGATCAAATCTCGGGTCATGCACCTCGGATATTTTCATGTGCGAATCATTTTCCAACATGATTACCACGTCTTGTTTTAGGGTGAAGGAAAACATCGTGAGGAAAATTGCATGTCTGAGACAACTTAGCAAGTTATCGAAAGATAATTGTGAAGTTTGCCAACCCGCACTTGGC